GGGCCGGGTAATTCCCATTTGGGGTGTTTTTTTTTTTTTTCACTTTTTGTGTCACCGGGTGATAATGAGGGAAAAGTAAAAGAAATTGGGGGGAACACCTTTCTGTTGAGGAAAAAAAGGCCGACTTCCAACCCAAATTTCTCCCAGGATTTTTTTTTCTTGGGGGGACCCGCCAAACCCCCCCCCCCCCCCCCACAATTGTACGAGGTGGGGTTGGGGAAGCCAGTACCCCCTCGAATTTTTGCTGTGTTATAGAACATTAATCTTTTCGTAGATAGCCTGTGACGTTTTTTTGGGATCTGTGACGACAAACAAGATTTCTTGAGGTTATTATAAACGTCTGAAAACACATTTTGTCAAACATGACTTCACCTGGTGTCACTAATGCTGGTAATTTTTCGAAGCCATAAGAAACAGACTGTCAAACGGAAGAGAATAGGTTGAAGAGAACAGATTCTGGCATACCGTCACCACACCCCGACCCCTTTCCGCGTACGTCCCCGCATGTCCGAGGGTTCAATAAGATTTTCAGCCTTGTCTCGATTTTTTTTTGGCTCTCATTCTTTATGAAGATTTTTTACTAAAAGACGGACGCCAAGATTAGCTTTTGCTACCTTTTGTCAACAGGGGATTTGTTCATATAATGTGTAGATTTAGCCAGGGCTAAAAGCGAAGCTCCCATTAATAAATTTATAATTTAAATCAAACAATAAACTTGTAATCCACAAATCAGTTAACTTAAGGGCACATTCATGTGACTTTTGAGGGAAAGGAAAGTGATTTTAGAGTGAAACATCTTACATCGAGTTGATAGCCTTATACATGTATGTACACCCAAAAAACAGCAATTATCTTCGCTCACATTCAAGAGCCATAATGGCTCATGATCACAATAGATTGGGCCTGGAAAACAAATTCTTGGCAAACAAATCAGGCCGAATTTTTATGCGTTCGACAAGTACTTTACTTTACTTTACAAAATCTTCTTGTGGGCCACAAAATAGCTCGGTGAAATCATAAATCCTTCTTTTATTTAAATCACCATCCGCTCGTACATTTTCCTCTCCGATTTATATATATATATATATATATATATATATATATATATATATATATATATATATATATATATATATATATATATATATATATATATATATATATGTGGGGGCAAGTTCATGCCCCCACAGAAGCCGATATGTAGTTGGAAACTTTAGAGTAACGTAGCTTAAAACCCGCTTATATCACATTTTTTAGAACGACAGATAATCCCTCTTATATAATGTTTTTGTTACCTAGCAACCCTTTCAACAGTTTTATATAACCTAAACGCATTTACCATAGCAACCATTTAAATTTTCGCATTTAGCTGCCAGCCTTCCAATTCCAACAGTTCAGTCGTCAAAATTGCCTGATGAGTGTGGTCCTTGCACCATACGAAACAGTTCTGTAGCAATAAAACGATGATTACTCGTGAAACCTGAACTTCTGTGAAGTTATAGCTGATGCTCCTCAATCTATTGAGTCGAGCGCTCTACGAAATACGTTCTACTCAAAAAACGAATTTATATATATATATATATATATATATATATCAACAAAAAGGTAGTTTTGCACTACTCTTTTTGTAAGCTACTCCGATGTCAACTGTGAATCAAAAAAAGGATAACACCAATGCGATACTAAAAGAGTCACATCCAGTTTAAATGAGTGTCGCGACATTTCCGGTCATGTTCCGGTCACGCTCCCCTAAAAATTGAGTGGAGCTCAATTTTTAAACGTCCTTGTTCCCGTTAAGTAGCAAAGTTTAATCATATCTTCCTCGCTCGCAATGACTTGACGAATCTTCTCTTTGGCTGTTTCAGCTGCTTGTCTTCTGATTCTGGTTCGCTCAGACGGTTGGCTTTGTGCGGTTGACACTCCGATGTCGCTCGTTACTGCTTGCCTTATTTTCAATGGCCACACGAGGTTAACCGGTCTGTCAATGTGGTGTCCCTTGTCAAGCAATGATAATCCTCGAACAACTCCACCTTTTCCTCGAATATGTCGTACAACCTTTTCTTTTTTCCACTCTCCTCGATTTTTCTCGTCTGCAACTATCAATACAATTTTCCGATGTCTGATACCTTTGCGGTCTTATGGGTGATTCGATGAGTCTCCATTAGGCTGTGGACATATTCTTGTCTCCATCTCTTCCAAGTATGATTTTTAGCCTCCCTTAGTCGCTTGTTTAGTGCCCTTGTTTCCTCTTCATCCCCTTCTCCCTCAATGGGGTTGGCATTTTGCCCCCACATCAAAATGTCTGGATTTAACACTTATCCTCCCCTCCATCGCTGTCAAGGTAGGTTAAGGACCGGTTGTTCAAATTCTTCTCGACGTCGATAACCACAGCCTCGAGTTGCTCAAAAGTAAGGTGTGTCTGGCCCAGTGTCTTATAAAGGGTTTTCTTCACGTCCTTGATCAATCGTTCATACATGCCTCCCCTCCAAGGGGATCTGGATCGAACGAATCGCCAGTTTATGTCTTGTCTGGCCAGGTAGTCCAGTAACCTTTCGCTCTTCCTGATGTTCTTCATCCAGGTTGCTGTAGACTTGAATACTGAGGCGTTATCTGATATCATGACTTTGGACCTTGTTCTCCTGGTTATAAACAAGTTTAACTTTCTCTGAAATTCTTCTGCCGTCTGGGTCTTCGTCAATTCTAAATGTAACTCCCTCGACGTGGCGCAAGTAAACAGCAAAATGTAACACTTTCCCTGCTCCTTCTTTGCGATCTTGAAAGCGATAGGTACCTCAAAATCTACTCCTGCAGTCTCAAAGGGTCTTCTGGCTTCCAGGAGGAAATGTGGCATGTCTGCTGTTGCTGTAGCTCCATAATGTTTCGTGTTGAAAACCTTGCAAACGTTGCACGTGTTGACCATTTTCTTCTATTTGGACCTTAGTTTTGTAATCCACCATTCTTTTCTTATTTCCGTCATAGTGTTGGCCACTTCCAAATGTTTGATCTTTGAGTGAAGATGTCAGATTAACTTCTGTGTCAGTAGACAATCTTCGAGGTAAGTTGGTCTGTAACCAGGAATCCTTCCATTGCACTTAAGTACGCCCGTTTCTTTATCTTCTACCAATCTTTACCCTGGTGTCTCTGTATCTTGCCGAATTCTTTTCTGCGCTCTTGTCACGCATAGTTCTTTGGCTTGTCTGATTTCGTCAGTACACAACGCTTCTTTCCGCTTTTTCCTCACTGTTTCTTTGCCAACGTGTTATCTTTGAATCTTATGACCCAGGCAGTGATTCTCAGTACAGTCCAGTACGGTTTGCTTTCCAACAACTGATCCCACTCGTCAGGCTTGTGTTCCCTAGCGCTCGCTACGACCTCTTCCAGTGGATTTTATTCCTCGCTTGCCTCCGTTGAACGCGCTAGTGTTGGTTGTTCTGGCCACTTTTCTTCGTGCTGTAACCACTCGGGTGCAGTGAACCAATCACATTTCTCCAACTTGTCTACCGACGCGCCTCTACTTCCTAGGTCGGCTATGTTCTTGTCTGTTGGGCAATATTTCCAAGAAATATTGAGCTTCTCTGTTACTATTGCGATCTTCCGGACTCGATTTGCCACAAACACCTTTCAATTATTTCCAGGATTCATCAGCCAATAGAGTGCCATTGTACTGTCCATCCATATGGTGATGGAAACAACGGGCCACTAGTTAGTGCTTTTTGTACGTTATTGACCCTTTTTGCTGCCATATGTCCTGCCACCAGCTGTAGTCTGAGCATCGTAGTATTTCTCTTGGAGATTCTTGACTTCGAGGTCAGTAGTCCTTGCACTGTGTCAGTATCTTGCTTAACTAGGCCTATCGTTGCTGCAGACCAGGCCAGGCTGCTTGCGTCGGCAAAAAGGTGGAGATCAATAGATTTGACTTCATTACACTGTCTCACAAGGCTTCTAGGGAACTTTACAGTTCGGAGTTGAGCTATCCACTTCAACTAGGCTTTCGCTAGCTTTCCGGACACCACTGCATTCCATCCCAATTTCTCATCACAAGCCTCTCTGTAGATGTGTTTTCCCTATGCCATGGTAGGGGATAGGATGCCTAGTAGATTAACATTTCTCCAAGGTGACTAAGGATGATTTTCTTTGTGACTGGCGTATCGTTACTGAATGGCAGAATCTTCATTTCCAAGATGTCGTCTTCCTTGTCCCAAACCTGTCCTAGTATTTTGCTGGGGTTTGGCAAGTTCTGATCTTCCAACTCTTTTGTGTTTGACTCCCACTTGTGCACTTTGAACTTGCCATCTTCTAGTATGTGAGTAGCCTCTTCTTTAAACTTCCTCATTTCCTCAACCTGTCCTCCTGTCTTCATAAGGTTTTCTACAACAATAACAACAACGGTGTATTTATTTAAAGAAATACAAAGTTACAATACTTTATGTCCTGCAAATAGCTATAATGCTAATCTAGGCAGGACAAGACTTCCCTTGCATCAAGAGCCTGGTCAGACCGGGGTAGACCGCGGTCAAAGCCTGGCGCTAAAGCCTCGGTCAGCCCGGCCATTGGCCTGGCTGGCCAAGCGATAAAAATCCGGGGAAGCCGCGGCAATACAAAAACAGAGCAAATGGCCCGGCTAGACCAGGCTAGCCGGGGAAACCGTGGCCAGCCCAGCCAGTACCATAACAGAGCAAATAACCTGGCTTGAACAGGCGAGCTCGGGAATAT